TTTCCCCTAATTACCGACATATTTCTAGCACTCCCATTAAGACCAAAAAATTTAAATTGTATAACTATTTTTTGACATATGGTCAAAATGCTTTGATGAGGAAATCTCTTCTATGGCACTGCCATAAATCTACTTTAAAACGATTAATTATCGATTGTAACATTTTTATCAATTCCCACCACCAACACCAAAGAAGAAGAAGAAGAAAAACTAGAAAAAGATGTAATCACGGAAAATCTAAAACCTGTCCCACTAAACACGCTCCCGACATTCTCGATGCTTTAGCGAGTAGTTCCCGCTGGTTGCAATCAGCATTGGACTCGATTCTCTTTGCGATAAGATAAAATGGCTGTTCGATTTGCTTTTCAGACAGCGTGAGTGTTAAGCTATTTAGCGCGCCATATGTGGTTAATGACGTCGACGATTTACCTGGTTTAATGGGTAGAGCTGTTAAAATGATAAAAAAAAAAACAAAAAACAAAAGAAACACGCTGAAAAGAAAAATAAAAACAGAAATCAATTTTTGTTTTACCACTTCCTAATATGAATTGTATTTCCTTAAAATCGCGTTGCTTATCAATTGCATACGAGCGATCGACCGACCGACCGACCGACCGACCGACCACCACCTAAGACATCAAAAAAAAATGTTGGGAAATTTTATATTTAATTTTTTTATCAATGGAATTTTCAAGGAATTGGGTAATCTTCAATCGGAAATATTTGTTCTACTTTTTTGGGGATTTTTTTGGAATATTTTTGAATTAAAAACTGTGCTTCGAAACCGATGAAGGGTTTGAAAAAATAGTTTTTGAAGTTTATAGAAGAAGGTGTATTTTATTTTTAATATCTTTTAAATTTTAAAAATTTCTTTTACGTAGTTTACCCCCTGGAAGAGAATTACCAATATAGCTCCACGATATGGTATAGCCCCCATAAAACTGCGATATTCAGCGACATTATTCAACGGAATTGTTTCAAATTTTCATATAACGATTTTTATTTAAGTGGTACTTTTTCGGCGGATTTTTTTTGGAATTTTTTTTAAGATCCTTCAAAATGGTGGAGGGTTTTAAAAGTTCGGACTGGCCGAATTCTGCTTCTTTTTTACTTGTGGAAGAATAAATATGATGGTGTAGTTTCGAAAAAGCGATTTTGAAGCTTTTCTATGACCGTGATTTTTTTTAAATATTTAAAAATTTGATCTTTAATCCAGGATTTTTTAAATCCCTTGAAATTGGAACTTAAATCTTCTCATTTTCATATCCTTAGCCAAAGGGTAAGTATAATTTGATACGGCTTAAGGATGTTTCATCGAAATTGCGCTCTTAAACCCCAGGTCCAAATACCTTTCAGGGCTTATAGAGTCGATCTAGGAGTGTCTGTCCGTCTCTCAGGTAACTCAAAGAGAGCATTCGATTTTGTCCAAATATGTTACATCGTAATATTATTATAAATCGAATTCGGAGAGGCACAATATCGGTCCACTCCCTCTAATATATTCCCCAGCAAAGGTAAGAATTCTCTTAGAAAAAACTTTACCTCGTAGAACAAAAAGTGATCATTCGATGTTGTGCAAATCGGGGCGAAAATGGACAATATCATCCCACTCCTCCATGGTGAGGTCAAAATGTTGAATAATCATAATGTTTATAAAATGTGAATGATTATTTTCAAATTTCGCATATTCCAATATTTTAACCAACTCTTGTATGAGGATGGAAAATATTCGGCGACTCTTTTTGATTTCTCCCCCACAACAGAGTTCAAATTTCGAATAACCGAAAGGCTCATAAAATTCGGAGTGAGAATCCGTAGAGGGTATATATGAGTTGTTACGACCAAAACTTGCCCCATCGAAATAATAGTTTAGACCCCATGCCTCTTTGGACCAGATCCGTTTCAGGACATTTGGGGTCGATCTAGCTATGTCCGTCCGACCATCTGTCTGTCTGGCTGGTGCGCATGATAACTCTCGAAGGGAGCATCCGATCGTAATAATATTATCAAACTTAGATCGAGTTCGGAGCTGGGTAATATCGGTCATCGGACTTCCTCTGGTACCTACCCCACAAAAGGTCAAAATTCTCAAAGAAAATATTTTACTGCACCGTGAAAGGATAATCCGATTTTGTTCTAACTTTGCAAATCGTAATCCTATTATTTCTACTAACAATAGATTTGATGTGAAGATGGGATATAATGGTCCACTCATTTTCGAACCCCCAAAACAAAAGGCCCAACATTTTGAATATCCTTGAAGCTCATAAAAATCGAAATTAAGATCCGATTCCTTTCAGTTTAGCTATATCTCAATATTTCCATCCACACAAGATCTGTTACCTCCCTCACATAGAGTTCAAGATTTTTGAAAAACAAAACGCTCAAAGAAAGCATCCGACTCTCTTCAAGTTTTACACATCCAAACATTTTTGGTAACGAAAAATCTGTTGTGAAGATGAAATATATCTGCCAACCCCTTCTACCTCACCCACAAAGGGTCACAATTTGTAATACTTATATCTGTCATAACTTGCGAAACAAGTCAGCGATTCTTTTCGACTTGCTATATCTAAATATTTTTCCCATCCAGAAACCTGAGATGAATATGCAATTTTCCAAAATTATGAACTCCCCTACAATTGGATATAAATATTCGAATTTCTTGTAATTTTTCCGATACCAGTATTTATACCCTACACCACAAGGTGGTCAGGGTATTATGTCTTTGTGCATTTGTTTGTAACAGGCAGAAGGAAACGAGTTAGACCCATAGTTCCTTTTGATGATCTGCATAGAATCACATTCTGAGTCGATTTATGCATGTCCGTCCGTCCGTCCGTCTGTCCGTCTGTCCATGTATTTTTGTAAACAAAGTACAGGTCGCATTTATTGCCCGATCCAGATGAAATTTTGCACAGATCTTTTGTTTGGCCCAAGGACGAACCCTATTGAAATTGGAGATAATCGGTCAAAATTTAGATATAGCTCCCATATATATCTTCGTCCGATTTGCCTTTTATTGTGCACCAAACGTGTAATATCAGCCCGAATTGTATGAAATTTTACATATACACCCAAATTAGGCCTGAAAATATGTATGCCAAGTTTGATCGAAATCGGTTCAGATATAGCTATAGCTCCCATATATATTGTTCATCCGATTTGTTATTTTTGTCCACCGCCGCCATAATATGCACTCTGCGACAACAATATTTGGGGAAATATATCAAATACAGCTCAGAAATACATTTGCTAAATTTTATCGAGATCGGTTCAGATTTGGATATAGCTCCCATATATAACTTCGTCCGATTTACCATTTATTGTGCACCAAACGTCTAATATTTGTCCAAATGGGATGGAATTTGGCACTTAAGACCGAATTGAGTCTAGAAGCTAGTATGTCAAATTTGGTGAAGATCGGTTCAGATATAGCTATAGGTCCCATATATACTGTTCATCCGATTTGTCATATTTGTAACATGCACTCCGTAACACCGATATTCAGGGAAATATATCAAATACAGCTCAGAAATATCTTTGCCAAATTTTATCGAGATCGGTTCAGATTTGGATATAGCTCCCATATATATCTTTATCCGATTTCAAATTAATTGTGCACCAAATGGACAATACAATTCCGAATTTAAAAGATACAAATGTTTCGGCATATTTAGTCCTTTGAACTTTAAATTACAATTATAATCATAGCGTGTATGATCAAATTCTCCCATAAAATCTTATAATGGTTATGTGGAGCTCTACAAAATTAGCAAAGTGGTGTAGGGTATCATAAAGTCGGCCCAGCCCGACTTTAAGACTTTCTTTACTGGTTTTTTTCTGTATTAGATGATGTGTGAAAATGGAATACTTCGGCCCACTATGTCTGGTACATCACGCACATTTCAAAATTTTCTTAAAATTATCACATATCTTATATAAAGTGAAGGAAGAAGTCGATTTACTCCACACTTGGCACGTCGAAATATTTATATCAAAGGGACAATATTGGCTCATTCCTTCGGAACCTACTCCATAGAGGGTCAACAATTTAAATAATCATAACAGAAGTCAATATATATTTAAATAATCGTACATTGCCTGAGGGTATACATATGCAGGCAAACCTGACTGATACTTTTAACTTGTTAAGTCAGCTTCAGATAACCCTTTCGTAAATTTCTTTGCGGGAGGATCAGAGGTCCAGTCTTGGAGTTTTTAGTAATATTTTTTTAAAAACCTTTGGAGTTGTTGTCTAGGGTATTGAAGTTAATTTTTGAGGAACCTTTGCGGTAATTATCACAAGTTCTGAAATTTGATTTTTTTAAGCTTACGATGCCGCCTCTAATTTTTAAAATTCAGTTTTTTTAAAAAAATCTTTCCGATATATTCCGCTTTTAATGTGATTTAAAAATAGCTGACAGTAAAAAATACTTTTCTGGTGAAATTTGTCCATAAAATTTACGAATTTCCATCATCGTCTTCAGCGATGCATTATTTTCCTGGAAATGTTCACACTTGCCACCTTTTTCCCCCTTTTTTCAAGTACACATTTAATGTGAGAGCGGAGGGTCTTTGGCCAACCATATTTTCTTTATTTCAAACTAAAGAAAATTTTATTTTCCATGAACAAGCAGCAGTAGAAGAAAAGTGTTATGGTGTGAGCTCTGCAGCGAATGCTAGCTGGTCATTTACATTGCTTTACATACATCTCTCTTTACACAACTTTACACCCTATTTAGCAGAGATTCATGTGATATGTATTTGTGATTTCTTCTTTAGGTATTATGCGATTTTCCGATTTTCCTCTTTATTTTCTTCTTCGTTGGCTTCTGAGCATTTTCCTTTTGTCGTTTATGTGTTTGTTATGCCATTGGATTTGAATAAAAAAAAAAACTTTTAAAACGCTTTGTCTTTTATTTCTTCTTTTCTTTTTGGTTTTGTTAATTTAATAAATTAATTTTCTTTATTTTTTCTCTTCTTGCTTTTCTTTTCAGGTATATGATCCCGTTTCGTCTTTATTGTCAGGTATGTCATTACATAAGTTTGCGTTTTTTTTTTTTTTGAAGATGTGCTGGGGCACATTCGATGTCAGACATTTGAAATGGTTTCCTATTACAGGAAATATTTGGATGCGAGAGTTGAAAATAAAATAAGAGTGAGAGAGAGAGGCGTCAGTGGTAAAGAGAAAATGGTAAAAGAGTTATCCCAAAATTTTGAAATCTGAAGGCGGGCCAACAGAGCCATAATCCTGCATTTTTAGGAATTTTTAGAAACAGTTGACTACTATTTCGGATTTGTAATTTTTTTTTATAGAACCGATTGGGGTATTTTTCCGACAATTTTTGAAGCTAAAATCCAGGATTTTTCTTTACTAAGACCGTTAAGTTGTCTCAGAGATACCGCCTTAAGTTTTTGATAAAAAAAATTAGTCATGTATTTACAGAAGTCCTTATCCACGATTTCTTGGCTAAAATTTTTAAGCAACAATCGTAGATTTTTGAAAATATTTTTGGGATAACTCTAAAGGCACTATACTGGAGTTTTTTTATTAATATTTATATATATACAGGGTGAGATAAAAAAAACTGCAACAAAGTCAAACGCCATAAATTGTACATTTTTTTTATTAAATTGAATTTTATTGAATGAAAGCAAGAAAATTCGGAAATAATATCAAATTTTAGAATAAGTTTAGATTTGTTCGAATTGATCACCTTTGGCACGAATTATGGCCTTCAAACGGCCAATGAAACGGTCACACGCTGAACGAATGTTGCTCTGCGTTTTTTTTATTTTTTGGCCCATTCCCGGCGAAGCGCTTGCTAGAGGTTATTGACACTTTGGTATTTTTTAGTGCCAACCTTGCTTACCGAAATACTCCAGACACAATATTCCAACGGATTGATATCCGGAGATTTTGGTGCCCATTTTGCACTGGAAATGAAGCGAGGAACCTCATTTTGTAACCATTTTTGGGTGGCGCGTGCTGAGTGCGATGGTGCTGAGTCCTGTTGGGATGTCCAAAGTCTGTGGCCAAAATGTTTGCATGCCCAAGGCTTTAATACACCCTCCAGAATATTTTCGAGATAATAATCGGCATTTATTCCGATGCCACGGTCGATTAATACGAGCATAGAGCGACCATCGGCTATTATGGCGGCAACACACCATCACCATGGCCGGCACTTGAGTTCTGGTGGCCAACCGAAGGTGCACATTTTCAGCTGACCTCTTTGGCAAGTAAACACGATCATTTTGTTTGTTTGCAAACTGATGGACCAAGAATGTTTTCTCATCGGAGAAAACCAAATTCGGCAGTTTACCACTTTCGGCCAAGCGAAGCAACTCGTTAGCTCTTTTGAGTCTATTGCGGTGTCTTTCTGTTGCGGTGTAAGTTCTTGCACTTTTTGGAATTTCAATTGCTTTACCCCCAGCTCATTTTTCAATATTTGCCGAATGGAATATTGCGATATGTTCAGCTCACCAGCCATTTTTCGGCCTCTGCGACGCGGGTTTCGATCAAGTCGCTTCTTTACTTTTCGAACCATTTCTGCTGATGTTGCTGTTGCTGTTTTTTCTGCCCACTTCCTTGACGTCGGGCTACGCTACCAGTCCCCAATCACGCTAACGAGCGATGGTATGAGACACAAAAGATTTATTCACATTTAAATGCTGGAGTGCCCTAACGATGGCCACTTGTGGTTTTCCAGCCAAATATTAAGAATTCACAAATCTGTCCGCCTGTGGAAATCACTCTAGCTTCCGAACGAATTTAAGTAGATTGATACAATTTTGCTCACATGTATGTTATGTCTGCAGGACTTTTGGTATTGAAAATGAGCCATATAGGTCCACGTTTTGGTATAGCCCCCATATAACGGTACCTCCCGATATTCGGTATTGTGATGATTTTAGCGACATTATTCACTGGAATAGTTTCAAATTTGATATTTTGAAATTCGTAATGGATACTACAGCCTAAGACAGAAAATTGTCTGTGCAGGTCCACGTCTTCGTATAGCCTCCATATAACGGTACCTCCCGATATTCGGTATTTTGATTTTATCGACATTATAACCGTTTTTTTTTTAAGTTTCGCATTTGAATATTGTAATGGCTTATGACAAATGTTACCTACGCAGGTTCATGCTGTCGTATAGACCCTAAAACAGCTACATTCGGCATTTTTAAGATTTTAACAGAATTTTTAACGGATTTTATTGTTTTTGAGATTTGCGAAATTCGTTCCAAATGTTGGAGGGTATTAAAAGTTCGGCCCGGACGAACTTACTGCTTTTTAACTTGTTGATTTCTAGAACCGCCTGCCTCTTGAACAACGGTTCAAAAAAGAAATCAACTCCAGAAATCATCTTTGCCGTCGACCTTTGCAGCAGTCAACCTTGGCATTTTTTTGACCCACACCCCCTTCCCATCCCAAGTAAACAATTTACAGTAAACCAACCTCTTCCATGCCCTCTTGAGTTTCTTCCGCAGCTTTTTACTGGCTGGCTAATTAAAAAATAGTTCAACCAAAAAGAAAAGATAAAAAAGTTTGTTGACATTACAAACGGAGGTCTGTCACCTTTTCTGTTTATCTTCATGTTTTCCGTTTTGTTTTTTCTATCTTTCTATTAAAGGAAAATTTCTTAGAAATTTGTTTATTTTTTAAAGAAAAGGAACAAGTGCGTGTAATCAAAAGGTTGTGAGGTGACGAAGAAGAGAAAATACAATGCGGTCTCTTCGAATAACCTTTAATGTTTGTTTGCACTTTTCACCCTTGTTGCCTTTCGTTGTTGTCAGATGTCTTAATTAAATAGTCTTGACAAATTAACACCTGTAATTCAACAAAATGCGATTATTTAGGGGAATAGGGGAAATTTTTTAATTTGAAGTGGAGGTTTGTTAATTTAGAACAAAAAAAGGATCATCCCATTTTGTGCAAACGTTAGAAATCCTGATACTTTTATCAGTGTAAAAGTGGACAATATCGGCCAACTCCATCGAATAGCTACCCCACAAAGGGTAACATTTAAAAAAAAAATTGTAACTCCTATAAAATGTGAAATAAAGTCCCGATCTTCGGAACACTCCTTCTGACTGACCATTTAATTCTATTCAAATGTCGCATATTCGAATACTTTAAATACCACAAGATGTTGTTTGGAAATGGTAGATATCGCTCCACTCTTTCTAGTACCTCCTCCACAAAGTGATTAAAATCTACAATGACCAAATAGCCCGTAAAATGTGTTATAAGCATTCGATGCATTCTAAACTTTACATATTCCAATGCTTTTACATGAGTTAAGATGGTCTGTTGTGAAGATGGCAGATTTCTGTCCACTCTTCTGGTACCTCCCTTACAATAAATCAATATTTTTGAATAATTATAACTCTCATAAATTGCGAAAAATCTATCCGATTCTCTTCAAAATTTTACACATCTCAATATTTTTTCCAACAAAAGATCTGGCGCGAAGATGACATATATCGATCCGTACCTCGCCCCTAACGAGTCAACATTTTGAATAATTATATCGCTCAAAATTATTGAAAATTGTGACCCATGGTGGGTGAGGTACCAGAAGCGGTTCGCAGATATATATCATCATTTATGAACGTTTTGGTTATTCAAAACTTCGACCCTTTGTGGGGAGGGTACCACAAGGAATGGTCCGATCTCTACCATTTTTGTAACAGATTTTGTGTTGATGGAAATATTGAGATGCGCCATGGAATCGAATTTTAATCTCGCGTTTTATGAGCCTCAGGGATATTCAACAATTTGATCCTTTTAATGGGGGAGGTACCGGAAGGATCGGACTGACATATCCCATCTTCACAGCATATCTTGTTTTAGTAAAGACATTACGATGTGTGGAATTTGAAGAGAATCGGATGCCTTTTTCGATTTCTTTGTGCGTTTGTTTTTCAAAATCTTGAACCTTATGTGGGGGAGGTACCCCAAGTAATGGCCCGATCTCTATCATCTTTATAACAGATCTTGTGTTGATAGAAATATTGAGATGTACCAAGTCTGAATGGAATCGGATGTTAATTCCGCGTTTAATGAGCTTCATGTATATTCACAATTTTGACCTTTGTGGGGTAGGTACCAGAAGGAGTGGACCGATATATTCCATCTTCACAACAGAGTTTGTGCTAGTAGAAATAATGGGATGTGTGAAATAAGAAGAGAACCTGGTGCTTAATCCGGGTTTTATGAACGTTTTGGTTATTCAAAACTTCGACCCTTTGTGGGGAGGGTACCACAAGGAATGGTCCGATCTCTACCATTTTTGTAACAGATTTTGTGTTGATGGAAATATTGAGATGCGCCATGGAATCGAATTTTAATTTCGCGTTTTATGAGCTTCAGGGATATTCAACAATTTGATCCCTGTAATGGGGGAGGTACCGGAAAGAGCGAAACGACAAATCCCATCTTCACAGCATATCTTGTGTTAGTAAAGACATTAAGATGTGTGAAATTTGAAGAGAATCGGATGCTTATTTCGATTTTTTGAGCGTTTTGTTTTTCAAAATCTTGAATCTTATGAGGGGGAGGTACCCCAAGTAATGGCCCGATCTCTATCATCTTTATAACAGATCTTGGGTTGATGGAAATATTGAGATGTAACAAGTGTGAATGGAATCGGAATTTAATACCGCGTTTTATGGGCTTCATGGAGATTTACAATTTTAAACCTTTATGGGGGAGATACCAGAAGGAGTGGGCCGATATATTCCATCGTCACACCAGACCTTGGGTTAATTAAAATATTGTGATGTGTGTAATTTCAAGACAATCGGAATCTTACATCACATTTTATAAGATTTATAATAATTCAAAGTTGCAACCCTTTGTGGGGGAGATACTTGATGAAGAGGTCCATATATTTTCCATTTGCGCACCTGACCTAGCACTGCTGGAAATACCAAGATTTGCAAAGTTGGAGCAAAATCGGACTATCCTTTCTATTTCTGTGCAGTAGATTTTTTTTTTTTTTTTTTGGAAAAATTGA